TTTAGCTTATTTTTATCATTAGATTCTACATAAAATGAGTGACATTTTGATATTTTATTTGCAAAAAATAATTTAGTTTTCAAATTTTTTGTCCATTTTTTTAAAGATTTAATACTCTTAGTTAAAAAGAAAATTTGAGTATTAAATTTTTGAAAAATTGTAAAAAATTGAAAACTAAATCATTTTTACAAATAATATGCAACACCTCACTTTTAATATACTAATAGATCATTTTTAACGCCTGTGAATCACTAACACCAGGTTTCCATCCTGGGAAAAGACAGGGAATTTTTTTTTTTTTAACATCAACATTGTCCAAATACCAAATACATCATACAAACTTGATATTACAAGTTCCCACACATAATTTTATAACAAAACAGACTTTCTACGAGTTTCTTCTCACAAAACGTCACATCTCCTGAACAAACGAGTAGAGTTGGGAGGGTCCATTAAGAGCTATCTGTCTCTTCTTTTCAACCCATATACCAGTGTCTGGAAATTGTTCCAGTATGGCCTTAATCCATATCTCATCAGACATTTGGTTAAATCGGCTTAATTCACCATATTGATACAAGCCAGGAATTAGAGCAGGAAAAGCCATATAACGATCACGCATATTAGAATAGTCATCGTATATTCTCATAAAAACATGACCTAGTTCCACCATTAACTCATGGTGAGGCCTTTCTCGTAAGTCAACATAGTTCTCAGATTCCTCTTCCTCAAGATACATTTCTTCCTCAGGGTCTTCTTCCACAGGTTCTTCTTCCTCTGGGTCTTCGTCTTCAGGTTCTTCTTCTTCAGGGTCTTCTTCCTCAGGTTCTTCTTCCTCATGTCTAGAGCCTCTCTTAGATTTATTTGAACTTCCAAGACCATCAAAATTTATACTGGAGTCTTTATCCTCCTCAGCAAATATTAAGTCTATTACTTCTGGAGGTGGTCGAGGAACATTAGGATTTGTTCTCTGTGCTGATCTTCTAAGAGGTGGTTTTCCATACATTTGGTCTCTAACAGGCTGATTAATTGATGGTTCTGACCTTTCACTAATATCTTCATCATTGGAGACTAGGTTTATAGGCTCTAGCATCTGTGGAAACCCTAGAGATGTACTTCTTTGAGTAGAATGATGATGGGGTAAGTAATTCTTCCCTGACATACCTCTTCCTCTACCAGAACCTTGTCCTTCAGGCTACTAGCTTTCACTGTTCATCATAGATTGGGGGGGTGAGATTCCGAAGAATTCCCGTAGTAGTAATTTCCATCAAACAAATGTGCAGATCACATAAAACATGCAAAACAAGCCATATGGAACAAAACCTTGCAAGCTAATGCAATTAAGCATTTATGCGCAATGACAGATAGACAAGCTGAATAAATAATGCGCAAATAGTAGGCAATCACTGCCGCGCATATAATTGGCAATCACTGCCCCATGTCTGTTAGACAAGCTGAATAAATAATGCGCAAATAATAGGCAATCACTGCCGCGCATATAATTGGCAATCACTGCCCCATGTCGGTTAGACAAGCTGAATAAGTAAAGCGCAAATAATTGGCAATCACTGCCCCATGTCTATCAGCTGCACGTGATCACGGCTAAAAATCCATGCAAGGAATTAAGGATTACATGTTCTCATGCTTTTTGAATAGCAATATGGCACAAACAGACATGCAGCAATCATACACAAGTGTAAGGGAGGAAAGAACTACTACCTGAACCTTCTGCTTCAAAATCAACCTTACTTGTTTCCTTTCTCTTAGCTTCTTCGGTGAGCTTTTGCAGATATCAAAACCTATTATTTTAGTAAGGGTAGGTTAATGCTTGATCCAACATAATTTATAAATTAAATAACTCTCTTTAAATCCCAATCTCTTTCAATCTCTACCCTCACTTAATAGTTGGTCATCTTGGACAATTTTTCTTATTTAAACTTTTCTCTTTGGAGGGTTTCCTTTCTTATCTTCAACCCAAACAGTTACTTTACTTAGTAACTGGTTATCTTGGTCAAAGATATTATATATACATATATATTCACGCCAATTGATTTCATTTCATTTTTCCAAAATAATTCAATACGCTCTGTTAGCTTTTATTAACAATTAACATAATACTCATAATTCAAATCCAAGCTAAGCAATTTCAATCTCCAACCATCTATTAAACTTCTTAATCTTTGGTCTAATATTCCTCTAACAACCTTTCTGATAATTTCTATCAATTACCAATTTTTAACCCATACCCTATCCATTAACTGTACCATTGAGAATTTTCCAAATACAAACCTTTAAATAATTTCCAAACATAATGACTATCAATCAATCCATTTACAATTTCCTTCCATCATTTGGAAACCTCAAACAAACCCTGACAATAAAATTTCAAATCAATTCCTAGCTTAATTTCTTTGATCCCCAAAATCTACCATTTTTCATTCTATAACTATTAGTCCATTCCTTACTTTTCTTTAAAACCTTTTAAAATATTTAATCATACTTAACTACCTCAAGTATTTACACCAGGGTCCTTCTCCAAAATCCTAAAATTATTTTATACCCATACAAATGTTGAAATCAATTTTTAAATGTTTTTACTTCAAATCTGGAAATTTTCCTGATTTTCAACACATACCCAACACTAATCTTTGACCATACTTATTCACCTTATAACACTTAAATTTTTCTCCTTATCCTCCTTAAAAACTTAGATTCCCTACTCAACCTTTTAACCATAAAACACACCCAAACCTCACGGTCAATTCCTTGCCAGTCATACACTTCCCCAACCTCCGCTTCTTTATTAATCCTTTCATCACTTAAATCTGAAAATCACTTCCAACCTTGGAAATCACCATTACAGCACCTTAATCTGACATTCCCTTCGTTTTCCATGTCTTAAGCTCATGGGGAAATGCTTTTCATAAAATTAATTCATTCCTATCTTACTCAACTTTCAATAACTATGTTCCATCTTCGGAATTCCATATTCGAGACTCACACCCCCAACATCAACAAATCTCAATTCGAATTGCAAGCATAGTTATATGTGTGAACACACACACACTCCAGATTTATTCTATTTGATTACTTCAACTTCACACACACAAATATAAAGTTCCTTTCGGCCAAACACAAAACAACAACCAAAGAGCAGTCAACACCAAAGCTCTCGGCTAAAACCACAAAATCCAGCGTATATATGTGTGTATATATATATATATTATCAATCTTTCCTCTACCCATAAATCCGATAGCACCATAGCAGCAACTGTGGTCCCTGTTTTCGGTGATCACAAACAGAGTAAGAAATCCCACATGCAACTCAACACAACACAACCAAGAAATATTGGTCTCTGTTTCGACGAACCAGATCAGGGGAAGAGAATTATACACATCTATATACTTATATCAGTTTCAGCCCTCAACTTAGCTCCATAAACTCGAAGCTTATGAACCATCGAGCATATACCCCCACACACTCTGTTCAGACAGTAACGCAGAGGCAAAGGAAGGGACATGCAAGCTCAAAAACTACCACCACACACTTCAATCTTGCCATAGAACATGAGCTCACCGATCCTCTTCTTCTTTCCTTCACTTTCTTTCTCCACCCCAACTCTGTCTCTCCTCCATTGCAGCTAGAATACACTGAAAACAGAAAAGAAAAAGACGGAAGATTGATCAGGAGGTTCACCTTGACAGTCTGATCAGTTTGCATGTAACTCAAACACCTCCGATCACAACTCTTGCCTTCGCCCTCCTCCGTCGCGTCTCTGTCTCTCTCGTGCTCTCTCAACGTCGCGGAAATGAAATGGGGAAGAACATGAATTCTGATGGTTATAAGGGTGGAGCAACACGTGCGGGCTGTGCACATGAGACAATGGACCATTTTGCCTTTAATTATTCCTTATTTCTTATTCCCCCTTCCACATAATTTCCTGAATTTGTGAATCCAAAAATTAATCCATAGTATTTTATATGGATTTTCCTTATCCATTAGCTTCTTTGACCCATGAAATAATGTCCATAAAAAGTTCGGGTCAAAAATAATCTCCTACCTATTTTTCTTGAATTGTGGAAGAAAATAGCCCTTAAATCCAGAAATTAATCCTTAACCCATTTTAAGGATTTTATGCCTCAAATAAATTCTCTACATCATAAGATAATTTCCCTAAAATTTTCTAGTTAATTAGAAATCTCTAAGTATTTTTCCATAATTTTCAGAGAAAATAAACCATTTTTCTCTTAAAATTATCTATTAAAATTATTTAAGCCATTTTTGGGAAATACCTTTTCCAAAATGTCTCTAAACCCTAAAAATCATTATTCCATAATTTTCCCCCTTTATTTGGCAAATAAATAATTTTAATAAATTTTTTCTCTTTTCTACTCATCTTAAATCATAAAATTCGGGGTGTTACATAATACATCAAAATATCACTCATTTTATATTGAATCTAATGGTAAAAAAAGTTCAAAAAATATCTATGAAAGAGGAAAAATTAAGGGGCAGCTGACACTCCCAACCCATGCAGAGAAGGAAAGAAACATAGTGATATTTTAGTTTCAAATTTATAATTAAACAACAAAATCTCTTAGTTTGACATATAGATGATATGTGAACTAACATAATTTGGAGGCAAACTGGACTATTATATGGTATACATTTATGAGAAAGAATATAGCAATATGAATCTATGCAGGCCATTACCGAGAAATCACGCAAATCCGTGTCCACTGTAGCCCTAACATTTCTATATACAGAACCTCAAGCCCCTTCTTTGCACATCAAATCTTCTCAGTCGCATATCCTTTGGGTTTTTCTACCATTCTTCAACATGCTGCCTCATTCACCCGCTTTTGCTCTTATTCTCTTTCTCTCCACCTTTTCGTTAACGTCCTCTGCAACAAATGATAAGCTTCCAAAAGGTTTCAGCATTGACCTCATTCATCGTGACTCACCATTATCACCGTTCTTCAACTCCTCCATGACCCACTCGGAACGAGCTCAGAACGCCGCGCCGCGTTCCCTATCCAGAGCTAATCGCTTTGGCGCTCCTCCATGACCCACTCGTAACGATGCAAGTTATCTCATGAAGATATCTGTTGGGACTCCACCTGTAGAGAGGTGGGCACTTGTAGACACCGGAAGCGACCTTATTTGGTTCCAGTGTTCGCCTTGTCCTCAGTGCTATCCTCAGAACGCGCCCTTCTTATGTGGCTTAGACCCTTGTAAAGCTCTGCCCCCAGTCAACGTGCAAGGCCAACTGTATCCTAAATGTGGAACATCAAATGAGTGTACGTATTTTTATTCGTATAAGGATAAGTCATGCACCATGGGAGAACTGGGCGCAAAATCAGTTAGTTTCGGCCAAGCTGCTTCATTTCCTAAGACGGTGTTTGTTTGTGGACACAACAACGGAGGATTCAACATGAACAACGCAGGACTTGTTGGGCTTGGTCAAGGTTCTTTGTCGTTAGTTTCACAAATGGGTAACGTTGGTCGCAAATTCTCCTATTGCCTGCCTCCTTACAGTTCAAAGACCACAACTAAACTACGGTTTGGGGAAGAAGCAACCATCTCAGGAAATGGGGTTGTGTCCACTCCGTTGATCACAAAACCTGGTTCCTTGTCTTCGTTTTACTTCCTCCACCTTGAAGGTACTACTTGTATTATGTTTTACTCTGAGATTATTAGTTTATTTTCATTTCAAGTTATAAGTTTAAACTCTTGAATTGTTCCCTGGTCTAAATTGTTTGTGTGAAATGGCCATTCATCGACAGGTATCACTGTTGGACAGCAGGCAGTGCAGACAGGTGAAAGCAATGGGAACATAGTGATTGATTCTGGGACGACATTGACGATACTTTCGTCAATCTTTTATGAGCAGGTTGAAGCTTTGGTGAAGCAAGCCATTGGAGCCGACCAATTCATAGTACAGGAGGATCCATACAAATTGTGTTACAGCAATGCTAACTCCATCCAGAACTTCCCAAATTTTGAGGTTCATTTTAGAGGAGCCAACCTTTCCTTAAAACCTCAGAACTTTTTCCGTCTCATATCCAACGATGTTATATGCTTTGCAATGCTCCCTACAGATGGAACGCCCATTTACGGAAATGTGGGTCAGATTGATTTTGAGGTGGAGCATGATCTTGATCAGAAAGAAGTGTTTTTTTTGCTCCCGTCGATTGTACTAAACAGTAGAGACCCGAGAGCACTTCCTATACACACTATCTCCGGTCCTAATTATAAGATATTGGAGGTAGTATATATACATGGAGCAGGAGTCGTGTGCGTGTTTGATGAATAATAAACTTTGGTTTTGTAAACCCTACATTTACTTTGCTATTACTTGTTCTATTTTCTATAGCAAATTAATCTTAAGTTGTAGTCAAAATTTATTTTGTATTATGATATATTTTTGCCTTTTCTTTTTAATCATAACAGTAGTTTATATACTTTTTTTGGGTAAAATTAGTTGATATACTTTGAGAATAACGAGGCTATTTTCTTAACCCTCCTTAAAAAAAGAAAAGAAAAGAAAAGAAAGAATTCTCAATTGCCAAATTTCACACTTTCACTGAATCCGAAATTCGTTTTTCTATTTTGCACTATAAGCGTAACGAGTATTTATTAAAAATAATATAATATTGAGCTTTATTCATTTCAATATCCACATTTTATAGATAAAGTTAATGTTCTTTACACTCTTGCATATTTACTCTACAATGAACTCTTTTTTCCAATGCTAATTCCTTGGATATTTTCTTTGAGAATGCTAGTGAGGTAAAACAAAAGTTCACCTTTGTTTAATTATGTTCAATGTTCCCTCCCTTTTTTCAGAATTACTCAGAATACAGAAAAATGATTTTAACAAAATATTTCAAGAAAAAAATGCAAAAATTAATCTGTTTAAATAATTGACTTATTTGAATAGTACAGAAATAAGCCCACTAATTCTAGACAGCAATACAATCAAAGCATCTAATTTAAAGAACAAATTATTATTAACATAATAATTTAGACTTTTTGTGAAGTCTTGAAGGGATTGTAAATAATTTAGAAAAAATTGTTACGGAAAATTAATATTATCTAAATACAAATTATTTTTAAGGAAAACATTTTATATAAATTCAATAAACGATATTGTTTTAAGGGATTATTGTAAATAATTTAGAAAAATCAATATCTTTAAGAAAACACCAATACGTTTTAGCCACATTCTCATTATATTCTTCCCTTCTTTTTTTTTGTTAGGCACATGTGCATCCTCTTATTAGACATAATTCTGTTCAAAGCATTGTCATGCACTAAATGTAAGCATCTCTCCTAGCGTTGATTCGAACAATAATTCGCTATATTATAAGGGATTAGTCCTTTCCATTATATCCAACTCAATCGGTCCTTATCTATGTATTTTGATTAGTCTTGAGTCAACACTCAATACAAAATTTTAAGAGAGAAATCATGCCTCTGTGGTTGGAATGCCATCCAACAAATTATGGGCCACTGAGATTTGTGGAAGATTAATACATAAGCTTTGGAATGACGAAGTCGCACAAGACAAGTGAAATGATCTGAAATGGAAAATGACATAAAAAAGATTCCATTTTTATACTCATTCAGTTCTAAATATAAGATCCATTTTGTAGTGTAATTTATACTAGAAAATGAGTTTCATATTTTATTACAAAGATTTTCTTTCAAGGAGTCTAGCAGTTTGAGAAGAAGAAACAAAATTAATAATGAACTTAACCCTGAAAACGTGCGTTGCGTATACCCTAAGTATTCCTTAAGGTGTATATTTCATTTCTCAACTTTATAAAAAGTTTTAGTTTGGTCTCTTAATTTTAAAAGGTATACTTTTAGTCCTTTAATCTTAAAATTATTAGTTTTAACTGATTTTTTTTTGTAAAAATCATGATTGTTTTGAGAATTAAACTTAATATTTTAGTATTTAAAATTTTTTTATTAATATTTAATATCTCAATATTATTATTTTTTTGTTAACAGTTTTAAAATTAAAGGACTAAAAATATACTTTTTAAAATTAAAAAACTAAATTAAAACCTTATATAAAGTTAAAAAACCAAAAGTATATTTTAGCTAACATTTTAATTGTTATTAGAATTATAAGTGGAATTATGTAAGAAGATTTTTACAAGGAAAAATCACAAAAAATACTGTAGAAATTGTGAAATTGGAAATCAGATATTTTGTCAGATATTTGTTGTTGACAAACTCAATTATTTTTATATATTTTGGTATCTTTTATATGAGTTTTGTCAGCTTAATTGGTCTCTTTTTGCCTTAATTGATTTAATTTAATTTATTTTGAATTATTATTTTATAGGGGCAAAATTGTCATATTTTTGGTTTAATTGTGAGTAATTGGTTTTTTTGAGGACAATTAATGCTACCTTACTTTTTGAATTTTGTTTGCAGGTTTTTGGAAGAATTAAAAAAAAAAAAAAGAAGAAAAGAAAAATAAAATATATATATATATAGCAATAATAAAAGGGGAGAGCAAAACGGAACGTTTTGCCCTCCCCCAACCTAATAATAATAATCACTCACGCACACGAGACGGACAAGCGGGTGGCGGCGCTGAAATAGAAACACACACACACGCGAGGCACACGGAACGAGCTGGAGGAGGGAAGCACGGACGGAAGGAAAAAAAACAGAGGCAGCGAACCAGCGGCGTGAAGGAGAGGATTCAGCGTGAGGTTCCACAGCGAAATCACTCCGGCAGATTCCATCTTCATTGTTCTTCATGGCTGAACCGAATTGGTTTGTTGGAGCTGTGGTTGTGATGGTTAAGAGTAGCTAAATCCTCCAATTCTCTAGAACAGTGTTTATGGCTTGAACTTAGATCTTCAAAGGGGAGTCTCAACTCTTCTAATCTTTACTTCTTTCATTATAATTGTGATTTTTAGGTCTTAGAATGAATTTTATAATGTTTGAATGGGCTGTGATGATTTATATTTGTATTGAGATTGGTTGTAGTTGTTGGAATCTTTGATTAGCATTTAACATTATGCTGTGATTAGCTTTAATTTCTTTACATTGTACTGGATCAGACTATGTTTTGAAATTATTGTGAACATTTAGTGGTAATTCAAGGTGGCTTGGTTATTGGACTAAAAATGTTAATTGCTTTTCTTTGATTTTCTTTTTGGCTAATTGTGCTGAAACAGTTTAATTGTGAATAATTAATATGCAAGGTGGCTTGGTGTTGATTATTCTAATTAAACCGAGTCTAGGGGGTGGCCCTTAGAGTCTTTTGAATTTAGCTAACTCCCAAATTAATTGAAGTAATGATAGCCTTAATCATTGTGCTAGAGGATTGCTCTTCCATTTGCTGTCACTTGTTAATTCTCTTTATTTATTTAATTCATATCCATTTTATAAACTAAAAATCCAAAAATTATTTACTCATTTTGCATCCTTTTAAATTTTGCCAATTAGTTAATTAAAAAGAAAATCAATCCATTTCCAAGTCAATTCTTTATTTTTGATACTTAGTTGCTTAGGATTTCAAATAAAGGCTCCTCAAAGTGAAACGACCCGAGTTTTGTACTATATTGCATTACTTGGATTTATTTTTGATTGGGAACCCCAAGGCAAACGACAAAGGCTCTCATCAGTTGTCATTTGCTGTTCCATTGTCGTCAAAACCTATACAAGACTTGTAACAGGCCCCGACTTGTGATTTTGCAATTTTCATGGTCTTTTTTTTACTTTTTACAATGCGTTAGGCATAACGCAGATATATTTATTTATTTTAAAAAATTAGATTTCCTTGGCGCATTGATTGACTTGACTTGGAGTAGATTGGTCGTTAGTCATTACTTAGGCTTTTTTTGGTCAAAAATAAAAAAAATTACTTAGGCTTTAAGATGATTGACTTGGGAGTCAAAACTAAAAAATTACTTAGGGTTTAAGATGATTGACTTGGGAATCAACCCAAAATTTATTTTATATTATGATACATTTTTTTAACAATTCTTATATAACTCGTTAAAAAAAAAAAAAGGAACTCTTAACTTGTATAGTATTCCTTGTTGAATAAAATGGCTATAATATCATTAAATAGGTTTCGGACACTTAACATGGATTAGTTTGATTGGTGATAATTGGGAAAAAAAAGTGCAATTAGCGATATAAGTCTCTATATATATATATAGTGCAGATGCAGATGAGCGAAATGAATAAAGCAGCAGAGAATTATAGATTGAAATTTAAGAAAAGAAACTCAGAAGATTGCATAATGAAGATAACTATAAATAAATTTCTCGAATTAGCCGGATGATTAGTTTCAAGTTGCATAATGTTTTAAAAAGAAAAAACTTGATAAACATGCCACCAAAAGAAAAAAGAAAAGAAAACAAATTATAAACAAAATGTTTTACTAAAACAAAGCATAATTATAAATCTTGGAAGATGATCATCAGTTTTTTTCTCTTTTATCAAGGGAAGATTATCAGTTGTAAATACCAATTAATTAAATTGAAGTGAATCGTGACAGATGAGATGTAAAACAATATTTAAATCAAAACCTATTTTTCTCCTGTTAACTCAATTTATAACTAAATTAATTTGTGGAATTTATAAATCAACTTCTCATCATATATTAACTGATTTTTTAGTCAATAATTTACGACTTATCTTTTATTATTTACAAATCATTCAATATTTTTCATTTACAACTTCTTCTAAATTAGAACATTTTTCAACCAATCGATCTGTGACCTATTTCCGTTATTTGTCTTTTAAGTGGGAAATGAAAGCAAAATTTAGAATTTTCACTGCTCATTGACGAACTATACCGTACGAACCCTCAAATTGCGTTGTGGGACCAGTGGTGTGAAATCAAGCATTGGAAACTACTCGTAGTAGTCAAAACGGGTTTTTGAAAAACCGGCCGGCTCAAATTTGTGAGCAGGGATGGAGAAGAAAGGCGCAGAAAAGCTTCTGGATATGAATCTTATCCCCATCCTTCGTCCCTTCAAGATGTTATGAGTCCCACGTTAGGAAATCTCACAAGTGTTGTGGGGTTTATAAGTTCAAAGAGCTCTCCCTCCCAATAGACTAGTCTTTTGGGATTGGGTTCTTCCCTTAGGCTTATGCTCATTACATTGGTTTTTTCATTGAGAGTTGGCCAATCGGAAAGGGCTACCTGCGGAAGGTTCTGACCAGTAAGAAGACTAAGTGAACTGCCGTAGAGTGGAGGGGATGTCGGCTCTCGAGAGGATCCCCGGAAGCTCTCGAGAGGAGTGCTCTGTTATGAGTCTCACATTGGGGAATCTTACAAGTGTTGTGGGGTTTATAAGTTCAAAGGGCTCTCCCTTCTAATAAGCTAGCCATGGAGACGGTTGCGAGGCTAGAAGAAGATAAGAAGCTCATCTTGGGCGCCCGACGATTTGCAAATCTGGACTGTAAATAAAACCTCCCTAATCTACAATGAAGAAAAGAAGACGACGTGCAAGTAATGGAATGGGAGTAGGGGAGAAAAGAAAATAAAATCTCGGGAGTAGAGATAGAGAAGCGTGTTTCGTATACGCAGGGCAGTTTTTTTTTTTTTTTTTGGAGCCAACACACAAAGGTAGATTTACCAAGGATGACGTGTGCTATAAATGAGTATTCATTAAACCTTTTTTAACGTTATTTTTCAAGGGAAAAAATTAAATTAATTATGAGATGAAGTTATATCTACTGGTACAAATTGCAAAAGTCAAAGATTTACCATACTATATATTAAAAAGGCTATAAAAATATTTACGTTATAATATTGTAATTATTAATGATTATTATATGATTAAAATATATAAAATATGTAATTTATCCTCTAAAATCATTCTTATTTAAGGGATAAGGTGGGCATACCAATAATTAATAGAAACAAAAATAAAAATATATAAAAAAAATTTCAAATAGGGTATTACTGTGAATGTGTCATGGACCTTCATCCCCACAAAAATTTCTTATATATAAGTTTTAAGGAAGTATAATATTATTTTTATTTAATTATTATGTTAACCACGAATTATTATGTTAACCACGAACCGCTCTTCTTTCCGGTTTAATTTCCGGTCCGGCTCTTAAAACATTGGTCAGAAGTGTAAGATGCAGACATGTGAGATAAAGAAACACAAAGTTCCCCAAAGTGTTTTACACGATCCATCATTCTACAAAATTAAGCATTGGAAGGACCGGCAAGTCAAGTTTCTAGAAAATGTTTTGCACCATCCATCATTCTTGTTCACTTTCACACTTCCATCATTCTTGTTGCGTATCCCTTTAATTTTTTTCCTGCACAAGATGAGTGATATTTTAGTATCTTATAGATAACAAAAATTGATGCAGTTTTAAATTTTCAACGAGAGCTCCATAATCACGGGCGCTCATTCAGGAGGTCCTGTCATTGACTTGAATATTCTTATAATCACAGTCAGCATAGTTATTTATATATTTCTTTTTTCGGTTTGTAGAAGGAATGGCTTAATATGTAACCCAAAGATCACGCAAACTGGTCTATAAATATAATCACCTCAGCATCTCCTTCTTCACCCATCAGTTCTCCTTTGTGTTTCTCCACCATTACTCTTCTTCAAACATGCATAACCTTTCACTCTTTCTGGGCCTTGTCCTCTTGTATCTTTCAACTTTGTGCAATGTCACTGCAACAAATAAGGTCCCAAAAGGTTTCAGCATCGATCTCATTCATCGTGACTCGCCATTGTCACCTTTGTACAACTCCTCGATGACCCACTGGGAGCGAGTTCAAAACGCCGCATTGCGTTCCCTGTCTCGAGTCAATCGTTTTCGCCAATCTTCTTCTGAAAATGCAGCTGAAATGAGTGAGCAACTGGCTCAAACTGATATAATACCAGACGATGGAAGCTATCTTATGAAGATCTTCATTGGCAGCCCACCTGTACAAAGATGGAGTGTTGCAGACACGGGAAGCGACCTAATTTGAGTCCAATGCTCACCTTGTACTCAATGCTACTATCAAGATGTCTCATTGTTTGATCCCACAAAATCTTCCACCTACAAGTCTCAGTCTTGCGGCTCAAGAAACTGTGCTCTTCTTCCTCAGCCTCAACATGAATGCGGAAGCTCAAATCAGTGTTTGTACATTTACGTATATGGAGATCAGTCTCACACGGTGGGAGATTTGGCTACAGATTCAATCGGTTTTGGTACTAGTGATGGCCAATCTGTTTCGTTCCCTAAGTTAGTGTTTGGATGTGGACATAACAATAATGGGAAGTTCAATAGGCGCATGGCAGGACTTGTTGGACTAGGTAATGGTCCTTTGTCCCTAATTTCACAACTTGGTAATCAGATCGGTCGCCAATTTTCCTATTGTTTGCCTCCTTTCAACACAAAGGCTGCGACTAAGTTGAGATTTGGAGAGGAAGCCAAGATATCAGCAAATGGGGTCGTGTCCACTCCCATGATCACGAATCCTAATAATCCCACCTTTTACTATCTCAATCTTGAAGGTATACGTATGTGTTTTGCTTTGAGATTAATGTTACTCTCTCTTGCGCATTTTCATTTTAAGGTTTTGAACTTGCGAATTCAAATGATTCTTGAAATAGGGTCAATGGGATTGCACCCGGTCCTATTGGTGACCCTCCTGGCATGAGCAAACTGGATCCTCAGGAAAACTTAAAAAAAAAAAAAAACAGAGAATTCAGTACTTTAAGTATTTTGCACTAAACGGTGTATAATGATATTAGATATGAATCTTTATTTTGCGGTCTGAATTATCTAGGTAAAATGGTCGTTGACAGGTATCACCATTGGGCAACAGACAGTGCAGATTGATGAAAGCGACAGAAACATAATAATTGATTCTGGTACGACATTGACACTTCTTCGATCAAGCATTTATGAGCAGGTTGAAACTTTGGTGAAGAAAGCCATTGGAGCCGACCAGTGGATAGTGCAAAACTCTCAATTAAATCTGTGTTACAGCAATGTCAACTCTATCAACAATGTTCCAAACTTTGAGGTTCATTTTACAGGAGCCAACATTTCCTTAAAACCTCAGCACTTATTCCTTCTTGTATCCAACGACGTGATGTGCCTTGCAATGTCTCCCACAAATGGAGATTCCATTTACGGAAACGTAGCTCAGATGGACTTTGAAGTGGAGTATGATCTTGATCAGAAAAAAGTTTCTTTTGCTCCAGCCGATTGTACTAAACAATAGAGAGCCTCTTCAAGTACCAGCAATAATATATAGGGTGTTTGTTGCCCCATAAACTTTTCTTAATTACTTTCCAAATGTTTTTTCTTGCTTCTTTTTGTTATCAAATTCTATATAAAATAAGTAATATTTTGATATCTTATGACCAAAAAAAGGATATATGCAGTAGTTTTGGGTTTTTTTTCAAAATGATTTTCCAAAATTTTTTTTATCTAAATTAAAATGAATCTACGTGATTTTAGAGTTTTTTTTAAAATCATAGAAAAACCTAGAACTGCACCATTTTTTTTTGGCTCATAATAAGCAAAAGTTCATTATTTTACATAGAGTATAATAATAAAAAGAAACAAAAAAAAATAACATTTGGAGGGGGCAATAATATTAGAGGGGGCAGCAGTGGCCACCTGAAATCCACAATATATATATAGTTACTCTTCCGGTTCTAAATATAAGACCCTTTTTGTAATATAAATTACATTACAAAAGGGGTCTTATATATTTAGGACCATAGGAGTATTATATATACTTGATGAATAATATATTATCTTAATATATAAGGACCTATGGACTCTGAGGCAACTTATGGAGAAGGAACCAGGCTTATGAGAAATCTCATAAAGAGGGCCATGAGCGTTTGTATATAAATATATATATATATATATATATATATATATAGGTGTGCATTTGTCTAATTTTCCCTCCGTACGCTTAACAAGGATTAGTTTGATTGATGATAACTGGAACCAAAAAAAAGAGTGATTAATTAGCGATATAAGTCTCTCTCTCTCTCTCTCTATATATATATATATATTATGCAGTCCAGATGCAGATGAGTGAAATGAATATAGCAGCAGAGAGTTGTAAAATAGATTAGAATTTAAAAACGAAACTGAGAAGATGGCACCCCTATAGTGAAGATAATTATAAATCAATTGCTCGAATTTTCCAGATGATAGTTTCAAGGTGAATAATGCTTTGAAAAGAAAAAAAAAACTTGATAAACATGATCACCAAAAGAAAAAGGAAAAAGAAATACTTGTTTACTAAGTCAACAAAGCATAAATATAGATCTTGGAAGATGATCGGTTGTAAATACCAATTAATTAAATCGGAGTGAATCGTGACCATTGAGATGTAAAAAATTTTAAATCAGAACCTATTTTTCTCAAGTTAACTCAATTTATAACTAAATTAATTTGCGGAATTCAAAGAAATACCATTTTTTATCCATAACATATATTAAAATGTCGTTCATCTTATATAGAACCTAATGATGAAAAGAAAAAGAAAACAACTTGACAACTCAGAAAAATATATGGGGGCAGCGCACACATATTTTTTACAGCTACTCCCTTCCTCACTCATCTCTCTCCACATATTTACATATTTCTAGCTGAAGCCACTTAGTCTTGTATCTAACAGTGTACGCAATGTACAGATGCCTTTGAGCCAACAGAAAACAAAAAGCACTCGATCGACAACACTAATTATTAACAAGTCACAACCCACACAGGCCAGTGCTTGCTTTATTTATGGAGTTTGGATAAGAAACAAAAAAGATAAAGGGAAAAAACTGAGAGCTCCATAATCATTGTCGTTCATTCACCCTCAACCTCTCCTTCTTCACTCATCAATTCTCCTTTGTGTTTCTCCACTATTATTGTTCTTCAAACATGCATAACCTTTCACCAAATAATCAGTACCCTGCATTTCCCCGGCTCGAGTCAATTGTTTTCACCAATCTTCTTCCCAAAATGCAGCTGAAATAAGTGACCAGCTGGCTCAAACTAATATATTACTTCGGGCATTAATTATAAGATCTTATTTGTAGACTATAAACAAAGTCTTATAATTAGGACAGAAGGTAGTGTATATATATAATCCCAGACTATGGAAGTTATCTTATGAAGATCTTCCTTGGTAGGCCACCTGTAGAAAGATGGAGTGTTGCAGACACAGGAAGCGACCTGATTTGGGTCGTCCAATGCTCACCTTGTCGTCAATGCTATCTTCAAGATGTCTCATTGTTTGATCCCACAAAATCTTCCACCTACAAGTCTCAGTCTTGTGGCTCAAGAAACTGTGCTCTTCTTCCTCAGCGTCAACATAAATGTGGAAACTCAAATCAGTGTTTGTACCTTTACTTATATGGAGATCAGTCTCACACGGTGGGAGATTTGGCTACAGATTCAATCGGTTTTGGTACTAGTGATGGCCAATCTGTTTCGTTCCCTAAGTCAGTGTTTGGATGTGGACATAACAATCTTGGGAAGTTCAATAGGCGCATGGGAGGACTTGTTGGACTTCGTAATGGTCCTTCAGTTGGTCCCTAAGTTCACAACTTGGCAATCAGATTGGTCGGAGATTTTCCTACTGTTTGCCTCCTTTCGACACAAAGGCTGCAACTAAGTTGAGATTCGGAGAAGAAGCCAAATGGGGTCGTGTCCACTCCCATGATTGCCAATCCTAATCATCCCATTTTTTACCACCTCAATCTTGAAGGTATATATCTGTTTTACTTTGAGACTAATGTTATTTTTTTTGCGTATTCAAATGATTCTTGAACTTGTGAATTCAAATGATTCTTGAAATAGTATATTATATATGAATCTTTATTTTGCGGTCAACAGATAGTGCAGATTGATCAAAGCGACAGACTGATTGAACATTGACACTCCTGCGATCAAGCATTTACGAGCAATGGATAGTGTAAAACCCTCAATTCAATTTGTGTTACACCAATGTTAACTCCATCAAGAATCTTCCAAACTTTGATGTTGATTTTACGGGGCCAACATTTCCTTAAAACCTCAGCACCTATTCCTTCTCGTATCCAACGATGTGCCGTGCCTTGCAATGTCTCCCACAAAGGGAAATTCCATTTATGGAAACGTGGCTCAGATTGACTTTGATGTAGATTAGAGAAAAGTTTCTTTTCCTCCCGGCGACTGTACTAATTAAACAGTAGAGATTTCAAGTCCCATCGATAGAGTTATATGCTTAATGATGAATCATGTACTTGGGTGATCTAGCTCAAGTGAAATATAGGCACTGTAAACCCAACACACACACACATATTCCATGTTTTTGGAAGTATCCGATGAGCGTCTGAGGCTTATAACTAGCTTTTGAACTAATAAAAGAACACTTTAAAAACGATGCTAAATTAAATGAGAACTATATAACGGGAAGAGTATCTATCTATTACTATCGGTTCGTAACCCATCCTCTTTCCTTCCCATCCTCTTCCCTCCTTTTCATTTTCTAACTATTGCGATTTAAATCTTTTTAAAACTATTATTAAAATATTAAATTATAAAAATAAATAATAATAAATTACAAACTCTATTAAAATTTAATTCTAATGGTTTGCAAATGCACTAAGTATTTTTAAATTTTTTAAAATAGTTTATAAAAATTAAAATCTCAACAGTTGAAATATGTTAATTCAATAGTTAGAAAAGAAAGAGGAGGGAAGAAGAGAGATTCCAACCCGTGATTTTTATAGCGTGATATCTTCTTCTTCTTGTTTTTTTTTTCAGTGAAATATTGGGTGATATCTTTAATTTAACTACAAGAATGATCCTAACCTAAAAGAAGAGTATTTTTTGATGGAGATAGTTCATGTATGGATTGGAACATTCATCTTCATTGAATATTTGGAGTTAATATTAGGAATTAAGTTGTGGTGATTTGAACCTTTTTAATCAAATTATATAGTAAAACACAACTCATGTCATGTCTCTTGAAGAACTTTTTGTTACTTTCTAAGTTAACTAAGTGAAAAAAAACATAAAAAAAGAAAGGGGTTTTGAAAAAAGATTTTTCTTTTATAAAACTAAATGTGAAAATAAAGAACCAAATCTAAATTATTTTTTGAAAATTTTTAATGAAAAGAGAGAGTGAAAATTATACTAACTGTAAAGTTGTGGTCATTTTTCTTACTCACTATAAATTTTATTTTATGATAATTTATTGGAAAAATTCAAGATAGCCAATATTGCAGCAAGATAATTTCTAAATTCCAAAACATTCTGAAATATTACAACACCCTCTTAGATCAAAATGAAATTAAATTTTACAAGTGAAAAGACATGATTGTTGTTGATTAATTTTTCAGTTAAAAAATATCAATTGTCAAAAGAGTTTCGACTGCCAAATCTTTAACCTTTGGTGATTAGCCACCAGAGTGCTGGTGGCTAGTTGCCATTCTAACCTCTTGTGACTGGCTACCAAAGCTCTGGTTATCAAAGAATTTTATGCAAATAAGATAGCCAAGGGCGATTTGAACTTATGACCCTTTGCACACCAAAAAGAAATTACAACCACCAAGCCAACCAATGTATTTAATTATATAATACAAAGAATAAACTATATGTAATAAAACAAATATGAGTATCCAAATGTGGATGACCAAAAGAAATAAGAAGATTTGCTACACAAATCTTATGTCTAGCTAGGTGTGAATGAATTTACAAGTGTATAGGTGAAATAATTCTCTTATGTTTCTTATAAATAGTCCCATTCGCATTGTAAATCTTCTTATTTTACTTGTTTATTCACAGCTGGATACTTGCATTTGTTTTGTTACATATACTTTCTTCACATTATATAATTAAAGGACTGGATGGTTTGGTTGGTCAAAATTTTTTTGGTGTGCCTCGGGAGAATAAGTTCAGACCTCTTTTAGGCCCTATTTGGGTTGGCGTTCCACCCACTTATAAGCAACTTATTATTAACAAGCACATTTGGATAATTTTTCTTTTTCCAGTTTGGAATAGCTTTTGCTCCATTTAACTTATGGGTCAAAAACTACTTAAATTATGCTATTTGAAAAAGCATATTATATCTTACTTTTACCTTTTCAACTGTGCTTAATAACTGCGGAGGAGAAAAAGAATGTGGAAGTGGGAGTGCTTTGATTATTTTTGTCCTTATCTATAGGGTCACTCACTCATGTTATCAAAAATTCAAAATGACAATAATGTGGTAGGGGATTAGCAGTTTGCATTTCAGTTATTTTTTATTATTAGTT